TTTCAAAGTGTCAGAATTACTAATGTTTCCTGCCCTCAAAATTACCCGTTACCTGCCTTCAACTATGAATCGGTCATTCAACTGTAATTTTATTAATGGTTGCTGAATCGGAAATGTTATAAAGTATTTAGACTTACTTCAACCTCTTCGTTTGAACGCTGCTTATCTATTTCGAAACGAATCTTTGTGTTCATCAGCTCGTCTTTGGCAAGTTCAGCTTTGTACTCTGCCCAGTGTAATTTCGTCATTATTTCGATATATTTGAAGTCGTTTTCGCTACTGTTTTTTTGCTGTGCTAAACAAAGAGCAATATAATAATAAGGAAAACTCTTGATCTTCTTCGATACCTGACAGAGATCGATCGGACTGGGAAGAAATCTCAACAGACTGCACAGCAGTCGGCGGAGTCTCCGACATGGAACTGGTGCTGCCGGCTTGCTCCAATGACATTGAATATTTCTGAAACATTATTCGATTTTCCAAATAAGTTTCATACATATTTCTATACATTCATTTGCATTTTTCTTTAATAACCTATATTTTGTTACAGGTAAAATTTGAAATTAGCAAAAAACCGCGAAAGAAACCATTAACCGGCTCGCAGCGCGTGATAGTCCCCAAGATTAATATACAGCCAAGCCTAATTCACCGCAGCTGCATTTTAAGGTTTAGCTGAAAGCAAGCGGAATTCTGAAAGAAAAAAGATTCCTGAAGCCTTAACAGAAAAATGATTCCAGAAACTGACTTTTAAATTTGTGATCAATTTATGGGAGTACAACTTGTTGGCAAGTTTGTTTGCATACGGTGAACAGATACGATTCAGAAACATTCAAGCGTTCTCCTTGCGATCATCGTGTACCCAAAACTGTGAATCGTTACCACTTTTTTACGGGTACAACTACCGGGCAAATTTCCTGGGCCCAATTTCGGGCAAGAAAAAAACGAAAGCAAATATACGCTTGGTAGTTCAGGATGGCTCCATAAGAGCTTTCGACCAAGGAACACCTCGAAAAGTATGAAATAAAATTTTATACAAAATCAAGACATTGTATAATTCAATGTTATTTGCCGAGAATATTCATCGTATTCTGATAATATCAAGTCATTTCCCAATACTACGCATTAGCATACGGTAGAAAAAGTGGATTCAATAAGAGAATAAAATAATGCATAATGATAGGAGATTATATCGCCATTTATAATAATGCTATTCGAAATAATTCTGATAAAAGTAAATCAGGATATTAACAATGCAAAGCCCAACAACCGCAATTCACCTATTTGCATTCCTTCGTCATTTTAAAATTACGGTAATTTGATCTCCAGGTATGTTTGTAATGGCAGACCAGCTAGAAGAAAGTTTTATGTCCGTCTTTTGTAGCAGCAACTGCGATTATTTTTATACCATGTATTGCCAAAAAAATTTATCGATCAGTGATTACAAGGGAATTTCACTTAGATAACTTATGTAATAAATCGGTGAATTATCATTCATATAAAACTTTTTTGCATGTATTGCAAAGACAATTTGCGGATAAATTATGCAGACATAGGATTAACCGAGCGTTCCTTCGACTAAAAAATTTGCCATCCATTGTTTTGATTAAATTAAAGTTTGTTGTTTTAGATTCCATGATCAAAAAAGCATTTCTCATCAAAGCAGAGACAAATGAGAATGAATTATTGAGAATAATGTACATTTGATAAAACGCGAAAAACATTCTAAGGAATAGAACTAAAAGATGGTAACAGAATCCAGGAATCTATTGTGCTGGCAGTAAATTGCGAATTCAAAACTGGTAGGCATATCCCAAGATGAAAAATGTACCCACTCACCACATCTCAATAGTGCCTAGTAGAAAGATTCGGCATAGAGAATTTTCCTAGAGATGTGTGCGGCTCCTTGCTGGCAAATACTTTGACTTGCATACATCTGATTAATGATAGTCGTGACAAGCATTGTGAAGTCAATCATTCAGCAAGTGACTGTTAGTAGAAAGAATTTTCACACAGCGCGACGCCGTCAAAAATTTCATTGTCAGGTTCATTTGAAATGGACAGTGTGGCTGTGAAATAGCAGTTTATTCTAGAGACTTCTAAATCTAACCGCCTTTTAAATGAGTGATTATACATGGATGTTGTGGTTTACGAAGACCAATTTCCTTATAATGCATTGCCATGCGTGCTTTTTTGTATCATTAGTTGAAGTCACTTCAGCAGCTGTTCACAACAAGTACTGAATCTACGAAAGCCAGGTTAAGCGATATGAGAAAATGATCAAGCATCTGAGAACTGCAGTGTTGTCCAGTTGATTTGTTAGCGAACGGTACCTAACTTTTTGCTGTCGCGAAAACGAGTTGAGCACCGAGAAGTTGCCGCTTGCATGTCAATTTGGAACCAATACGTTTGATTCAGCAGTTCCCATTACGCGAGATAAGTCCCTTGTTGCATGTTTGAACGTTCGTTTTTTGTCTGGCGAAGGTGATTAAGATGATTTCGGCCATACGATGGTCATGGACGCTCACTTACCGGGAAAAGGGAAGCTCGATCGGAAGGATGCGTTGTCATTTTCATGGTCAGGACAAAACGGATTATGTCATAATAGCATGGGTATTATCTTGTCTGGCGGTCTTTTCGATGGAACAGATATTGGAGTGAAACCCGGTCTATCTCGTGAATATGAAACAGACGACTCTGATTCTAACCTGTAACTCTACAAATACGTCATATGGCAGCGACAAAGACGTTCCATACGGTTAGATGTAATCGGCAAATATTTTTTGCGAACCGATAACCGATGGGAAAGGGAGGGGTTAGAAGTCGAATATGCTGCGGCAATATTTCAGTATTTTGCAGTTTTAATCGAGTTAATATGAAAGTAGCTAAATGCTTGGATCATTAATTATTTTTTATTGGCAATTTTTTATTTTAATCTTTATAAAAAGGCAACCTTATAAAACTATAGAAATCATAAATTGTTACAGCAGTTGAGCAGAGATATTCGACAGAAGAACAATTAAAAGAATCATCCTATATTGTAGTTTGCCATTCTGATAAGTAACCTTAAGTACTGATGCGTCACGTCGTTTGAGCTGATTGAATTAATCTTTAAAGCAACATTTTAATTTGCCGTGACATTTTGCTTAGCTTTTTACTGCTGCTACCATTTTTTCAGGTTTCTCAAGCATCAACTACCAAGCCGAATCTCTGCTAGAATAACAACTGAAAAGTTTTGTTAATAAAATAGGCATAAGGGAAGAGTACATAGAAAACTAAGCATATCATAGGAAGTATGTATCAATTCAGCTGAATATGAGTTAGTTTAGTTTTTAAAGGCAAAATACTAACCAAAATCTCTCCTATAGATCTATTAAATGTATTTAAATGCAATATCCTGATTTTTAAACCAGCTGTTATTCTACATTTTGAGATTTCTGGAAAACAAATAATCCATTCATTTATTAAGCAGTTCACTGCTCCATTCGAGTTGCGAAAGCAGAGCCCGCCTCAAGTCTTTTTCCAATCGTCCCGATCTTTTGTCAGTTAGGTAGATTCCACATGACGGACTGAGAAAAACGTTGTCGTTCTATGTACATCAGCATTCATCTCATCGCCTGATTTGTAGATTTGCGAGCAAATCCGCTACGTACATGTTTTCTAGCATATAGATCACATATTCACGCAATTGCCACTCATCTCTTGATCCAAAGATCGAAGCTTCATTAAAGAGAAAGACATAAAGCTGAAGGGCAAGAAGATGCCGATACTTCTGAGATGTCTTGTATATTTTGATTCGCAGAAATAACTTCTTTCACTTTCTTTCTGTGTAGAGATCTTATGCAGTCCCTGAGAAAACATTAGTCGACATGCGTATGATCGCCATAATTCAAGCAATTGTGACAGCTTCATTAACATTCTGATACTATCCTACTCAGAATTGTCAGATTTTTAAGGAACTATGCAGGTGAGCAGAGCGACAAAAGTACAAGTGGCGTTTAACGCTCTGTTAAGCCAACTTGGAAGAGATTCAATCAAGCATGAAACAGTCTACGGGTAACATGAAGCTTAATATATTCCATTATGGGTATATGGATATTTGAAGGTAAGCGCCACCATCATCATTAATTAAATATCCAAAGCACGGTAAAAAATTCAAACGGAGAAGGGCTAATG